TTTTATATATATATTATATGAATCTTTCAGACTCCCAGGTCAGGCCAGTTCTCAGTCTTTTTTTCAGTCTGTATTATGTCTACCCAATAGACTTCAAATTGGCACAATCAGCTGTGCTTTTTATTTAGCCTCTTTATTCAGAATAATTTTCATCAGCACACTAGGTAAGAGGTGAGCTTTTGCAGAACAACTGGGACTTTTCTGTGTCTGTTGTGCTTTATAAAGCAGTTCATCCCCAAATTGAAAGGAAGCCACCCTACTTCACCTTGCTTTTTAGGAGACCTGAAGGGCCAATTAGCTTCTCAAAAAGATGTTTCCCAACGTGTACATCTACAGCAGACAGGGGGTCATCCAGAAGATACAAGTCAGCATTACTGTACACAGCCCGAGCAAGACTCACTCTCTGCTTCTGCCCTCCACTTATATTGACACCCTAAGAAAAGAAAGCCAAAATAATCCATATTTAAATATGATATACTAAAGAAGACCAGTGTATCACACTCAGTCTCATCTTTTTTTTTTTTTCAGGTAAGCAAAATAAGTTTAATACTAGATATGAAAATAGAAAGGTAACATTTGGATTTTCAATTAATTAGACCGAAGTTTGGGCTCTGTTGATTAAATTCCCACTCCAAAATGGGCAAACACAAGCTACTTTGGAAAATTAAAAAATAACTTTTATTTACAGTCATACAGGCATTTTTACAGTATAGAGGAAACCCCTGGAGAACAGCACAGGGCTGACTCAAACTTCTATATCAAAAAGAGCCATTTTAAAAACTAATTAGAGTTCAAAGCTTTAACAGAAGTTAAGTTCAAAGTAAGTAAGCTAAGTAAGGAGATGGGCTAGATGCACTTGGCTGAGCACATTTTATATAATATATAAAAACATAAAAGGCATAACGTAACTTATTGTATCATTTCTGACACTTCAAATTCTTACCCGTTCTCCAATCTCTGTTTGGTCTCCATTTGGTAACTGTTCCAAATCTGGCAGTAAAGCACAAGACTCTAAAACAAGTTCGTAGTATGGCCTATTCAGATTTGCACCAAAGAGAATATTTTCCTGTAAACTGTCATTTTGAATCCAAGCCTGCTGAGAAACATATGCCACTGAACCCTAAGAAGAATTGGAAAGAATTTTTTCACTTGGGCTTTCCGAACATAAAAAATAGCATTTAAAAATACATTTGAAATTCCAGCTTTACCTCAAAGTAACCAGTAATTACGTCCAAAACTTGAGCATTATTGAACTGTTAAAATTTTGACTCAGGTAATAAAAAAAATCTGTTGAATATCGCTGTATAACAGCTTGCCTATAATTATTATAAGAGCACATACTTTGAATAAAACTGACAGAGCCGGGACATATGTTAATCAAAGTCTTTCAGGGAAAGATCTCAGTGACAAACAGGCATCCATTGTAAGATTTATATGCAGCAAAATGAGTCTGCATTAGGTATATTGCAAAATACAGTTTGATTGATTGTATTTTTTACATAACATTCTGTGGAATGTGTCAGCCATTAGAAATTAAAGTTACAGGATAGGAATGATAACTGGAAATGCTCCTAGATCTTTTCTTACACTAAGCTACATGCCCTGTGAAAATCTATTAATTTTAGAACTAATTGATAGTACAGATACATGTGTTGGGCATATACCTTCCTTATTACAACCTGCAGAGCTGATCTTTTATTCCATTAAGTACTACCCTCAGATTCAGAAAACCTCAACTTCATATTCTTCCCCCATTCCCCAACACTGACAGGATACTGTACTAGATTTCTACAGGATTCTTGTTCAACATTTATTTTCAAGGTCGAGACACCTTTTTAACGTTGCCACATCCACTTGCAACTGGATTAACCAATATCATTCTTATCCATTGATATTTATTGGCTCAAGCACTGTAGTCTGTCATCAGAGGTTAACTTCCTCCGTATCTATAACCTATAAAAAGCTTCCCTAAACTCTATTCTGTGATGGAGACTTCCGTTGCTCTCTGTAACTACAAAATAAGTTAACCTACAGGGTTTCCTAGTACTACGAAAGCCAGCACCTTAATTCCACCTCTGCCTAAAGTTCAACTTTTCCTCTATTTCCTTGTCCTGTATCTTCTCTACACATAAGCCATTGCAAGCAAGATGATCATCTTCTACAACAGTTTATACCTGTTCCAAGTAGGTCATGTTTGTACAGCTATTCAAAACCAGCAACCATTAGATGTTTACTCCCAATATATGACTTAAACACTCATGATTTTTGCACTGAATTACAGAGATTATAAAAAAATTAAAATAGCTTTGCAATCATTTAGGTTGAAAACAAGGAGAAATTGTTACACTGTTAACAAAGTGTCACTGTGTTACTTTTCTTTGAAGATTTAAGAAGCTGGAGGTACCCCTGCCAGTATTTCTACAAACATAAATAGTTGAGAAGGAAAAACTGTACTTTCAAAAGCAGCTCTGCTTAATTTAGGTATTGAGGAGTGGGCAGGGCAGGGTAGGGGGACACAGACAGACAATCTTACTCTTCTCTGAACTGTTCCTTCAAGTTTCTCCATTTCTCCAAGAACAGCAGAAAGAAAAGATGACTTTCCAGATCCAACCTGTCCCACAACAGCAACTAAAGAGCCTTCAGGAATGCTGACACTCAAGCTGGAAATATTGAAGAAGACAAATTAGTTACCCTCTTTGTAAATACTCCATCATGTATGGGTTGTGGTCACTATAAGAAAAGAAATACTCTATTTTACCCTCAGAATGATGAGAAATTAGTACTTCAGTTTGCACTTCTTTTGACTACATACCATCAGAAACTTGCAGTAATGACTTTAAGTATAAATTTATCTGTCTGCAAGTTAAGAGGTTGTAATTTCACCTGGTCACAAGGAAATCAAATGGGAGACAGTCTAACCAATAAGTGGTCTTATCATATTATTCTCAGGCCTGTGGTTCACATTCCATCTTACTCTGACAATCAACTGCTAGACTTCTCATGTTGCATCTACTGTAGCCAATGTGTGATCCCTCTTAAGGAAAACAAGTTGTTTGGGTAAATAAAAGCTGCCCTTCATAATGTGCACATTTTACTGTCAAAATAAGTGCATTATGTACTCATAAACTTTAGCACAAAAGGAGAGCCACCTGCTGTATCTGTATTCCATGTTATCTAGATTTAAGCATGTTCTGATTTGAAGGCCCTATGCTAAGGTAAGCATAGTCCCTTGAGACTAGAGCCTGGAGCACAAATGAGGTAGAGAAAGACTGTAGCCGAAGACCATATCAGACTTTAATGAAGTCTGTATATGATGCTGAAGGCACCTCATACCTAGATACTATATTGCAGGCTATGGTGGCTGAGACGGACGCTCAATGCCATATTACAGGAAGTGATCTCCCCAGCACTGAGAGGAATAGGGTAGACAGTGTGGTGAGAGGGCTAGACTGGGTGGTTTGAACCTCTTCAGCTGCCTTAGTAAAATTTAACAGCTGTATAGAGCTTATCAAATAGGTTCTTCATTCCACTCCAGAGCTTGGTTACTCCATTTCCTTACTCACCCTCCGATGTGTTCATTGTGTAGCAGTTTAAGCATAGCTGAATTTACACCTAAGAAATATCTTGTTAAGAAATGACAAACAAAAAGAGGGGTGTTTTCAGGCAAGAGCAACCACTGTGAGAAAAGCAAACTTTTTTTGTTTGTTCTTTCCAAAGGAAGCCACAGCCCAATTTTAAGATCTTTATTCAATGCAAGCCTGCATTACTTGTAGGCAGTATAAAATGCTACACTGACAAGAGTGCATCTTGCCAGTTAATGCTGCTTGAAATGCAATTCAGGAAAAATTGTTATTGCAGTTAAATCTCCCTTGTGCAAACTGAGGGGAGAGGTGATAGGAAAGAGAGAACGACGAAGGAATGACGAAGGAATGACGAAGGAATGACGAAGGAATGACGAAGGAATGACGAAGGAATGACGAAGGAATGACGAGCACTGGCTTCCCATAGCACTTACACAGTACTATGTTGGGGAACAGGCCCTTTTCGGTGGTTTCTCTTGGAGCATCAGGGAGACCAGGTGAGATTTGAATTTCCATAGCACACTGATCACATGGGACACTCGGGAAACAGTAATTTATGTTCTTTTTCGTATTTAACACCATGAACTAATCTGAATCAGAATGCCTGAACAAAATCTCTATAGACATCACATTCCTCCAAAGGAGCTTATAAAAATAAGTAAGAAATATCTTACTTTTTTAAGACTGGCAGGCCATTTTTTTCCCAGCGGAAAGAAGCACCAATAAACCCAACAGCATGATCTGTTGCAGAAAAGAAAAAAGAGCAAAGAGTTGCTAATCCATGCCCTCAGCTGAGTTTCTTAATGATCATCCATATAAACTCATGACCAATTAAAAATTAGTAACTACTGCTTACTTCCACTGTAGTTTGTATTGACATCCTCAGGGTTAAGATCCTCAGCACACAGAAAATCCTCTAAACGGCTCAGAGAAACTTTGGTCTGCAAGATGAACGTATATATATCTATATATAAAAAAATATTTATAACATGCTTGTGCTCCCTACATTTTTAAAGAATATTTTATAAGTTATAGATAATATGGAAAGACATATTCCTTGTCTCATTTGAAAAGAGACAAAAAAGGTGTTTAGGTATTTAAAAGTTGTCTCCTTAAAGTACTAAACAATCTAAAGTCATAAATAAGTGTATTTTTTTCCTGAGGATCTGCTGCTTGGTAGTTAAAAAGTAACAGAGCATGCTTGACATGTCCAATGTCAGAAGATAAAATTAATCCTTTAACATCTGGTTCCTCTGTCTCAATTAGTTTATTTTCATAAACCTGTGGTGAAAACATTTCAGCTTTTTTTTTTTTTAAAGAAATAGCACATAGTAATTCTCTCTTCATATAATGAAGAAAGACAACATTTTACTGTGAGCGCATCATGAGATGTCCATCACTGTGCTGTGACAAATTGAGATGAACTTAGGCTTGTGCTAATTTTTAAGATATTAGAAGTAAATTAGGTTTTGATCTTACAGTATGCTAACTATAAATGAACTCAAATCAGGATGAGTATCTGCTCACAGTGGTCCCCTTCCTTACAAAAAGCTGAGTTGTGTACAAGCTGTGACAGAGTACATTCATAAGCAGTTCATACAAGATACCCATAACACAACTTTTACAAGCTACAAGTTCTCAACTCATATGGTAACCCTACTGGTGTACCATTAGGACTGAAGGTTGCAGATACAGTATTCTTAGCAGCTCTACTCCTTCTTTCTCTACTTCCTTCAGTGGTGACTTGACAAAAAAAGTATTGTAGAGTCCACAATGGGTGTCTCCTACTTGGTACCAAGGGCTCCAATATGTAACATGGCTAAGTGATTTAAACACATGCAGCCCAAATTGTTCATACTTTATCTTCAGTGCACTATGAAGAAGAGAAGTTGACAGAGTAGGAGCAGAAGTTGAGTCTAGTCCACTGAACGAAGAAAACTGAGAAACAGAAAGCTCAGTCACAATTAGGTGTGCTAGCCAATTTTCTTTCTACTTAAAAGACTGAGACATCCTTTAAACAGCCTTCATGCTCCTCATTCCATAAAAATACTGTGCAGTTTCATCTCAATAAAATGTGAATTAAATAGTGAAATTACTTAATCACTCCTAGAAATAGATGAAACATGACAGAGTATAAACAACAGCCTTTTATAGCACTTGTTCATAATACGTTTACCTGGGCTACAGCAGAGATCACTGACGGTAAATCAAACAAAGGCAGTCGCAAAATGTTAAATAAAGAAATAGATGTAAAAACTTTTGCTGCTGTTAAAACATTCTCCTTGTCCAGATGAAAGAAGACTCCAAATGTAGCCAATGAGACCTTTTAAATAAAAAAATGAAAAAGATATATCCAGAAGCAAAATCACATTATAACTAAAATTTATACACAGATACTATTTTTGTTTGCATTTGAAAGGTGTAGGATCCCATCTCTGCTCATATATAAACAGGGACTCTGTAACTACTGCACATGAAAACTATTGCATCTCTACAATACTGAGTGCCAGAATACTATGATTTTAGTGAGCAAAAAACATGGCTAGTGTATTTGACCCAGCCAGATACACATGAAACTATACGAAATAACTTTCCCATCTCTGGAATTGATTTCTTCATTTTGAAAACACTCAAACATGATGTTTCAGGAAATTCACTTTTTTTTTTTTTTCCTTTCTCTTGCTATTGCTATGATATTGGACAAAAATTAGAATTATTTACTGCAGGTATTTTTATTCTGATCACTCGGAACTTTTTTCAAAAATCTAGTCAGTAGATATCACAGAATAAGCTGGGCTCTTGCACAACAGATACTCAAGCCTTCAGAATTACCCAGAAAAGCCTAAATTTAACAACCTGTCCTATGGGGTCTCTTCTGCCTTTTGTTGAGTTTAGGAGTCCTAAACTACGAGTCCTAAACTAAACTACTCATAAAGTAGAAGGACTCCTAAGAAAGTCCTAAATAATAAGTTGATTATTTCACTGCATTTAACTCAAACTTTTAATTTTTCTTGCTCACTGCTTCAAATATTTCAGTTATTATCAAGGTTACAGACTGAAGGACGGCCTTAATCCTCGCTTTCACTATTCCTAAGGAATAGTCCTCTTCAACTCTTACATATTTAGAGTTGAGCACCAGATGATGTCAGTTTGTGTAACTGAAGTTAATGGTGGTCATTTATCCCTAACAAAGGTTCCAGTTCGATCCATAGAATCATTTAGGTTGGAAAAGACCTTTAAGATCATAGAGTCCAAACATTAACCTAATACTACCAAGCCCACCACTAAACTATATCCCTAAATGCCACATTTACACCTCTTTTGAATACCTCCAGGGATGGTGACTCAACCACTTTCCCCGGCAGCCTTTTCCAGTGCTTGATAACCCTTTCAGTGAAGAAATATTTCCTAATATCCAATCTAAACCTCCCCTGGTGCAACTTGAGGCCATTTCCTCTCATCCTATCACTTGTTACCTGGGAAAAGTGACAGACTGCCACCTGGCTAAAACCTCCTTTCAGGTAGTTGTAGACAGTGACAAGGTCTCTCCTGAGCCTCCTTTTCTCGTTCCATCCCTTCTTGTAGACAGGCGTCACATTTGCCAACCATCAGTCAACTGGAACCTCCCTGGTTAAGCCACGACTGCTGATAAATAATGGAAAGTGGCTTGGTGACCACTTCCACCAGCTCCCTCAGTACCCCTGAGTGGATCCCATATGGTCTCATAGCCTTATGTGTGTCCAAGTGGTGTAACAGGTCACTAACCATTTCCCCTTGGATTATGGGGGCTTCATTCCACTCCCCGCCCCTGTCTTCCAGCTCAGGGGACTGGGTAGCCTGAGAACAACTGGTCTTACTATTAAAGACTGAGGCAAAGAAGGCATTAAGTACCTCATTCTTTTCCTCAGCCTTTGTCACTATTTTTCCCCCCCTGCATCCAATAAAGGATGGAGATTTTCCTTAGCCCTCCTTTTGCTGCTAATGTATTTACAGAAACATTTTTAACTGTCTTTTATGGCAGAAGCCAGATTAAGTTCTAGCTGGGCTTTGGCCCTTCTAATTTTCCCCCTGCATAACCTCACGACACCCTTGTAGTCCTCCTGAGGTGCCTGCCCCTTCTTCCAAAGGCCATAAACTCTCCTTTTTTCCTGAGTTCG